TCAGGGTTGCTCTTCTCCCTCACAATGGACTAATTATCTCATGATATGGTGGGATTCTATATTTATGAATCCAGGGAACGTATGTTAACAGACATTTTTGATATTGTTGTATTTCTTCCTTTGTAAGTAGTTTGTAGCTTCAGTCTTGTATCCTTGCAGTTGTGTCTGTCTCCCTTTTTCCTCTTCTCCTTTCTCACGTGTCCAAACATGGCAGACATGGCCATGATGAGGTATGTGGAATCACTTGTTTGCTGTTTAAAATAAAAAGCAAACTTACTTCATTTTGTTACTGAACCAAACTTGGGTCTGCTTGCCCGCATGCAGTAAAGCCAATCTACTGACACTGGATTGTGGTGAGGGAAAGGGCAGCATTTATTGTAAAGGTGCCAATACAAGGAGGATGGGTGGCTCATGCTCTAAAACCCTAAAGTCTCCGAAGGGTTTCAGAAAAGTTTTTTTAAAGGCAAGGTGAGGGAGGGGTGTCCCAGGATATGTGATCAGCTTCTGCACAGTTCTCTGATTGATTGATGGTGATCAATCCTTAGGTGCCAGATGGTTTGGAGGCTACGTGCTCATAATCATTAAGTAATTTCTTCCTTTGGTGGTGGTTTTATTTTTAGCATGTAAAAAACTCAGGAAATATGCGTCAGATACTATTATCTTGGTACTTCAGAGAGGAGCTAAGACAGACGATATGGGGGAGGGGTCTGTCCCAGCAAGACCCCATAGGGTCCTGCTCAGTTACAGGTGGGTCCAGTTAGGGCAACTTAGATTTGGCAGGCTATGGGAAACAGGTGGACTTCTTTCTAGTCTGCTAAATTCTCAGGTATGAAATATTTTCTCCAGCTAAATATAGTCACTTCTGTCCTCTCAGCTTTCATCATTCTGTATAAATCACAAATCATTCTTTACCTCTTATTGTCTCTTGTTGATATACCCTCAAGGGTTTCAAAAGATTAAAGGTCTCAGCCTATTTTTAACCAATAAGGATCAGGATTAAGTTTGTCTTCTTTCTCAGAAGTGTTCCCAGTAGCAATATGTTTTTTCATTTTCCTGTTTAGCCAACATGGAGGAGATCTGTTTCATGTACTTTCTGTTATGCATCTTATCTTTTTTTTCTTTTCTTTTTTTTTTTTGGTTGTGCCATGCGGCATGTAGGATCTTAGTTCCCCGACCAGAGATTGAACCTGTGCCCCCTGCATTGGGAGCCCGGAGTCCTAACCACTGTACCGCCAGGGAAGTCCCTGCATCTTATCTTTATTTGAGTAAATACTTGAGTGATAGCTGTGTCTGAGTTTTTTTTTCTGTTGTATTTTGGTTGTGTTAAAGGTTTTATAAGATCAGAATGTCTAGGATTTTTTGTTTGTTTGCTTTGAACTGAACATTACCCTCAGTCATGCCCCATTGTTGGAGGAGAAGGGAGTGTGAGAGAATGGTCATGTCCCAGGTCTTGGGTGAATTCCTGGGATGAGCTACCAAGTGAGGATTCTTGGCTTCACGTAGGAAAGAATTCTAGGGCGAGCCATAGTAAATGAAAGTTTGTTTAGAGAGAGACACATTCCATAGACAGAATGTAGTCAGTCTCAGAAGGTGAGACCGGGGTCCCAGGCTGTGGGGGTGGTTAGTTTTTATGGGCTGGGTAATTACATATGCTAACGAGTGGGAGGAATATTCTAACTGTTTTGGAGAAGGGATGGAGATTTCCAGGAACTGGGCCACAGCCCACTTTTTGGCCTTTTGTGGTCAGCCTGGGAACCATCATTGTGCCTATGGGTGTGTCATTTAGCATGCTAATGTGTTACAATAAGCTAATGCATTATAATAAGGCTCAAGATCTACTGGAAGTCAAATCTGCCATCTTGGGCCTAATTAGGCGGATTAGTTTTTATTGTATCCTCAATGGCTGTGTCATTCTTTTAATGATTGTGCCCTGCCCCCTTCCCTCCTGTCTTACCATGAGCTTGCTGGGAACTTGATCTTTATTGACTCTGCCATCTCAGAAAATAAAGAATATAGGTAAAGCCAAAAAGAATAATTGGAAAAAGCTCCTGTGGAACAAAGCTGTCACAGGGCAGAATGATTCAGCAGTTGCTGGCAAGCACTATTTATTGTGAGTCCTTAGTGAATTTTTGAAAAAAATCTTTTTTTTTTTTTGACCTTTAACAAGCATTATATATTTTTAAAATTTATTTATTTATTTATTTTTGGCTGTGTTGCGCATAGGCTTTCTCTAGTTGCAGTGAGTGAGGACTACTCTTCATTGCGGTGCATGGGCTTCTCATTTTGGTGGCTTCTCTTGTTGCAGAGCGTGGGCTCTAGGCATGTGGGCTTCAGTAGTTGTGGCACGTGGGCTCAGTAGTTGTGGCTCACGGGCTCTAGAGCACAGGCTCAGTAGTTGTGGTGCACAGGCTTAGCTGCTCCACGGCATGTGGGATCTTCCCGGACTGGGGATCGAACCCATGGCCCCTGCATTGGCAGGCAGATTCTTAACCATTGCGCCACCAGGGAAGTCCCACAAGCATTATATTTCAGATACAGATACTGTGATGATATTGATAATACTTTATTTTTATGATGGAATATTTTAAGAAAAATTTGATTTTCATAGAAAATGTACATTTAATTTTATAAATAAGAGTCATTTCCTTAAATTCACAAAAACTTCCCAGAGAGGGGAGAGGGTCTGGAAATGGAGTTAATAATTAATCATGCCTACATGAGGAAGCCTCCATAAAAATCCCAGTAGTATAGAGAGATTCCAGGTTGATGAACACGTGGAGGTGCTGGGAGAGTGGTGTGCCCAGAGAGGGCATGGATGTTCTGTACTCCTTACCTTGTCCTATACATCTCTTGCATCTGATGTTCATCTGTATGCTTTATCATATCCTTTTATAATAAACTGATAAACAGTAAGTAAACTGTCTTCCTGAGTTCTGTGAGCTTCTCTAGTAAATCAATAATCATCAATTATAATCATTAATAAGTATTCTGTACATTTTCTAACGTAATTCCCATAACATTTGGATTATTTGGTAGTGTATTTTTCTTCCTTGAAACTTGGCTTTTATATTTCAGCACAAATGTTTCCACATTAATTAGTGTCATGTTTGTATTTGTCTTGTCAGTTCTAATCATTTGTTTAAACTGAGATTTCCCTATTTTAAAATCATTACTCTGTTGATAGGAGGGGATGTGTTTGAATTTCACAAATATATATGTATTTTGTATTTTTAAAACATGTGGAATATTAATTAGCCAGAAACTGTAATCTCTAGGTGGGCAGAGAATATATCTCTTATTCACCATTGGAGTCTTTGATGCCTCACACAGTGATTAATAAATATTTGTCTAATGAATGAGTTATAGTCTAGCCTCTCAGAATATTTTCCCATCAAGAGTTTTCACCCAGACAGTTTTCATTCCTTTAAGCCACAACTGATCATCTCTAATAATGTAATTAATAAATACGCTATTATTTTTTCTTATGTGTGGACCTTAGTGTCTATTCAGAAAATTGAAGCCTATATATAATGGCTTAAAAATGGGCCACAGTGGGGTTTTCTCCCCTTTTCCTAACATTTTATTATGAAAATGTTCACACCGAAAAGTTAGTATTATACAGTAAATCCCTATATACTCACCACCTGATGCTACAGTTAACATTTTAATATGCTTGCTTTATTAAATATCTGTTCATCTAACCACCCTCTGTCTGTCAGTCCATCTTTTATTTATACGTTTCAGGGAAGTTTCATTTCACACCCAAAACTTCAGAATTTATCTACAGTGTTTATAAAATAGAATGCTTTTGGAGTATGACTATTTGAAATTATATGTCATCATTTGGAACAGATAATTGTTTGGAAAATTAAATTCTATCATCTTACTTTATTTTCCATACTTAGATTGGAATGGCAGATGAGAAGGGGAAAAAACCAGCTTAGATCTGTATAATTTTGTATAGTTTACAAAGAATTTTCATGTGTATTATCTAATTTGATCCAATATTATTATTAATAATAGTAGGTAACAGTTACTGAATGCTTTCTTTGATGCCAGGTACTGTGCCAAGTTTACCTTTAATGAAGGTACTATGCTAAATTATATTATCCCACTGATATTTGGTTGTCATATTTATTTTTCAGATGGATTGATTTGTTCATTTAAATATTTTTTAGCCCTGTCACACGCCTTTTTAAAATTCACATTTGTTAGCTGCTGCTACGTTTAGACTGAAGTCATCAGTGTTTGGGTTCCTGAGCACAAAAACATTTTCTCGGCTGTTGTACCTTTATATGTTGCTATTTATAATATTTGATCATAATTTAGGAAGAATTGCTGAAAATCCTCCTGTGTTCTTTGTTTATCTCTTGTAAATCAGTCTCTAAAATCCAAAATGTTGCATGACTTTAAAGACAAATGGATTATATGAGAATCTGCATCTAATAGTTACTTCCCCTTATATTATGAATTATTAATATTTCTATGAATAATAATAGTGTTTTTTGTATTTATGTTGTACCAGATACTGTAATTTATATCCACTTAACAATCCTGTAAGAGTTGAGGAAACTGGACACAGAAGGGTTAAATGACTTGTCCTGAATCATATGGCCAGTAAATGAAAAATCCAGGATATGAATGTTTCAGCTCCTCAGTCCTTGTGTTTGACCACTACCCTAGTGTTTTGCATAGTATATGTGTGTTCCTCAGACCATCCGCATCATAATTTCCTTAGAAATTATGTTAGAATTATGTTAGAAGTGCAGATTCCTGAGCCTCATGATACATCTACTAGTCTCTCTGTGGATTAAATATGTTTTTTAGTCATTCAGTTGATTCTTATGTACACTAAAGTTTGAGAACCTCTGTGCTATGCCATCCTATAAGCATTACCATGTTTTAATCTCTATTAGCCTAGAAGGATAGCCAGAATCATTCTTATTCTTGGAGTACATGACATTTTGGATTGATCTTTATGCTTTTGTCTTTACTTCAAGATTGTCATGGATTTTAAGCACCCAGGTGGTGTCACAGTGCCTGTTATGCTGCCTTGTAGGAGTTTGCTGGTGATGACAGGAGAATCTAGATACCTTTGGACCCATGGGTATGTACTGAAATGACCTTGATGACAGGATACCTTTTGCTTTGTGGGAGTTCTCATTCTTTTCTTCCTGAGCCACCAGAACCATGCTCCAGGCTTGCACATTGAGGCTTCTGGGTTTAAAACCCCAGGGACATCTATGGCTTTTTTAAAACTTTTTATTTAAAAAATTCAAATTTAAAGAAAAGTTGTAAGTGTAGTATGGTTAATTCCCTTCACCTTTCACATAGATTTACAAATTGTGAATATTTTGCTATGCGTTTTCTCTCTCACATGTTATCATTATTATTATTTTTGCTGAATCATTTGAGAGTAAGTTGCAGCCATCATGACTCTTTACCCTTACATGCTTCATTGCATATTTTTATTTTTAAATTTTTTTAATTTATAAAATTTTTTTTAATTTATTTTTTTTTAGAAGGTGTTGGGGGTAGGAGTTTATTAATTTTATTTATTTATTTTTGCTGTGTTGGGTCTTCATTTCTGTGCGAGGGCTTTCTCTAGTTGTGGCAAGCAGGGGCCACTCTTCATCGTGGTGCACGGGCCTCTCACTATCGCGGCCTCTCTTGTTGCAGAGCGCAGGCTCAGTAGTTGTGGCTCACAGGCCTAGTTGCTCCACGGCATGTGGGATCTTCCCAGACCAGGGCTCGAACCCGTGTCCCCTGCATTAGCAGGCAGATTCTCAACCACTGCGCCACCAGGGAAGCCCATTCATTGCATATTTTTAAAGAGCAAGGACATTGTCTGTATCAGGGGTTGGCAAACAATGGCTCGTGAGTCAAATTCAGCCCTTATTTTTACAAAGCTCTTGAGCTAAAACTGGTTTTACATTTTTAAGGGGTTGTAAAGAACAAAACCAAAAAAGAATATGTGGTAGAGACTATATGTGGCTCTCTGTGCCTGTAATATTTACTATCTGGCCCTGTTATAGAAAAAGTTTGCCAGCCCCTGTTTTATGAAACTGCAGTGTAAGCCTCAAATTCAGGAAATTCAACATTGTAAAATACTCTTATCATACTCTTATACAATCCATCATGAAATTGTGCTAGTTGTACTTTATAGTATTGTCAAAGAAAAACCAGACCCTGACAGTAGTTAAAGCAGCAAAACCAGATTTTACTCAGGAACTATTGCAACAGGGGAAAAGAGACCTCAGTATAGGAGTGGGCTCAATTTCAATACAAAAAGGAGAAATGGAGTTTTATAGGCAAGGAGCCTGGGATTGGGAATGGGGCAGTGTGGGTGGATAGAAAACTAAGAGGAAACATCAGTGGTAAGGGGGATTCTGGCTAAACCAACCATAGGATTCTTGCTGAAGGCAGGCCAGGACGATCAGACATCACCTGGGGGAAAGATGCAGGAAGGAATTTGGTCAGATACCAAGGATGATCAGATATCGAGGGTGGGGGATTCGGGCTAAACTGACTTAGCAGAATTCTTGCTAAAATGGGGCTAGATCTAGAACATACCCAAGGATAGGGCCTATTTGGGCTCAGAGGAACCTGAGTAAAGTTTGGTCACGGAGAGAATCTGTCAGTACCTCTTGGTAAGTTTTCCCTCTGATCTAGGATTTGGCCCATTAACCTGCATTACACTTAGTTGTCAATTCTCTTTAGTCTTCTTTAATTTGAAACAATTCCTCAACTTTTCTTTGTCTTTCATGACATTTATGCTTTTAAGAAGGCCAGTTGTTTTACAGAATGACCCTAAATTTGAGTTTGTTCGATTGAATCTAATCTGAAAGAAATGGGTTATTCACTTTTGGCAGGAATGAATCCTTAGCCTTTTGAGGTGGAAGCATCACACTGCTAAAATTTACATATATTGTCATGTCACTTAAAATACTTCTGAGCTCTGTACTTATTAATACTGCCCTGGTTGGAGATTTTAGCTGATGCATTTTTATAAAAATTCAAGGAAGGGGCTTCCCTGGTGGCGCAGTGGTTGAGAATCCGCCTGCCGATGCAGGGGACACGGGTTCGTGCCCTGGACCAGGAAGATCCCACGTGCCGCGGAGCAGCTGGGCCCGTGAGCCATGCCCGCTGGGCCTGAGCGTCCGGAGCCTGTGCTCCTTAACGGAAGAGGCCACAGCAGTGAGAGGCCCGTGTACCACAAAAAAAAATTCAAGGAAGTGAACATGTAAATGAATTTGTAACCTGTCTTAAATGAGCCATAAAAACAGATGGCCTGATTTTGTGCACTAAGGATTAAATTTACCTGATTTCTTTTTCACAGCCATTTAAAATATTTTTAACTTTCAGTAATTGAAAATGGTGATGTGATCTAGTGGTGTTTAAAGTATTCCTGTAATTTTGAGAATATTCACATTTTCTTTTGTTTTAGGTTCAAGGATTTTTACTATTGGTACCATTTAAACTTAAGAGTAATAGCAGTACAACAAATACAAAATAAGAAATTACTTTCTATAGGCCTATGTTATGAAAATATTTTAATTTGTTCTGGGTAATAGTATAGATTACTTCTCCTAAACATCATCTTCATCAGATTATTTTCTTGTTAAATGTTAGGAGTAGGATCTCTGGAAGATTGACTTGCAGGTTAATATTTATTTTTAAACCTTTCTCTAGAATGAAAATTTTCTATAATAATTTCAGGGGAAAAAGAACCTTCAGTATTATTTTTAAAGGCTTCCACTGATACCCGTTATCTGTAATGTGATTTGTGTGTGTGTGTGTGTGTGTGTGTGTCAAGAAGAGAGAGAGAAGGAGGGAGGGAAGGGAAGGGAAGACACACAGAAACAGGAACAGAGAGACTGACCAAACAAATGGTGTATCAACTACTGACGGGTTCCTTGGAATCTGGATGGAAGGGAAGATAAATTGAAAAAGCACATTTAGTGCACTTAAAAATACATATAAACTATAGAAATAAACCTTGATTAAAAACAGTTTGATCTCTGTGCTAAAAAAGCACTAGAAAGCACTACTGAAGAAGGTTGTTGATTAACGCGGCCAATTCCAAATACTTTTAAATTGATATATAGTTTACTATTCTAGCCAGCAGGCCCTAAATCAAATATGGCAAACTGGCAACACATGGGTCAAATATAGCAGTCAGGCTGTTTGGCTGGTGTGGTAGTGCTCAATGTTGTGGCATTTTAAAAAATTGGTTACACGTGAAAATTAGGAGCTTTTACACAAGAATCTGAATTTTCAGCTTCTTTTGAAAATTGAGAAGATCTGAAACCACAGTATCTTTTGGCAGCAGTAGCTGAGACTATCAATGGCTTTCTATAGGTGAGACCTACATTTTCAGATTCTCTAGAGTTCCTACCACTTTCTATGACTCCCTGAACTACGGCTGAGTATCAGTTGTCATTTATCATTGTGCTTGTACTGTTGTTTTTATCTTAAAACAGAGTTAAGTGAAAATTAAATATTTCTTAAACTCATGTCTGTTTTAAAAGTGGGGAAAAAAGGTAGAATGAGCAGGAACATGTGTTTTAAGAAAAATGGAAGAGAACACTGTTTTTTTAAATGAAGACAATTCCTATGTTTTTAATGGCAAACAATATATTTCTAAACAAATCTACCTGCTTCACTCATTTATGTTAGTTGACTAGCCTTGGGTTGCATTAGTTCACGAGTTTGTGTGAGCTCTCCTTTTAAATTATTTTTGGAGCATTTTCTTTGTGCCAGGCATTGTCTAAAAGCTTTACATATATTAACTGATTTAACTCATATCGTCACAGTGGAAAGTTTTTTTCGTGGTTTTGTCCCCATTTTTAAAGGAAATTGGAGCATAACTTGTACAAAGTTACAAAACCATTAAAGGGCAGACACAAGACCAGAAAGCCAGGGAGTCTGGCTTCAGGATCTGTGCTCTTAACCATACTGTTATAGCTAAATTTGTTTGCTCCCTTTCATCTGAATTTATACAGTGCCTTGTAGCCTTCAGACTTTTGTCAACTCTTAATGCAATAAATTTCCTTCTCCCTTCCATTCACTTGTTTTTAACATGTAGCTCAACTTTTATTTCCCTTATAATGTATAAAGATTTTTCTGACTGCAGTAGCCTGAAATAATTTCTCTCTTAACTCCTAAAGACTGTATTGTCTCCTACTGGCTTGTGATGTCTTTTCTATTGTATTGAACTGTTATTTAAATCTATAAAAATGTTTTTATCTTTTTTTTTTTTTTTTTTTTTTTGCGGTACGCGGACATCTCACTGTTGTGGCCTCTCCCGTTGTGGAGCACAGGCTCCGGACGCGCAGGCTCAGTGGCCATGGCTCACGGGCCTAGCCACTCCGCGGCATGTGGGATCTTCCCAGACCGGGGCACGAACCCACGTCCCTTGCATCTGCAGGCAGACTCTCAACCACTGCGCCACCAGGGAAGCCCTGTTTTTATCTTTTTATTTAATATTTTCCCAACTAGATTATAATTTAAGTACAGGGGGAAAAAAGATGTTCAGAGACATGTAAAGAATTAATTATTTTTAACATATGGATTACCTCTTCCTAAAAATCTGAGATTGGTACCCAAAGCAGTAAGTACTGCTTGACCTTTGCCTAAGATTTAACTCTAGGCAAGTGAAGTCATTGACTTCAGAGAGCCATTATAGAGAGAACTACTTAGTACCCAAGAGAGAATTGCTAATAAGAGTTTCAAGATATTCATTGTTCTAAAATATCTTGACTTTTGTTCAACACCATAGTTTTAATCATTTTCAGCTATTAGAGTAACAATCATATAATTTCAGGCATTTTTCGCTTGCTTTTACTTCTAAAAAATTGCTTTTAGCATGAGCTCTTTTAAAAGAGCCATTCTCCCAACTCGTTTTATGAGACTGGCATTACCCTGACACCAAAATTTGTTAAGGACATTACAACAAAATAGAATTACAGACCAGTATCTCTCAGAGATGGTAGAAGTCCTTGACAAAATATTAGAAAATCCAATCCTGCAATATATAAAAAAGAAAACACATCAAGACTAAGTGGAGTTTATCCCAGGATTGTAAGATAGGTTTAACATTTGGAA